TTCAAACATCAGACAATTGCAGAAACTATCTGAAGCTGGCAAACCCACGCCTCTGCTAGAGCAGGAGGCAAATGACAACCAGCTGCTTCGGACAGTATGAAGCAACTCCATATTCACACACCTGGTGATTAAGATGAAAACACTTTCTCTAATGGAACTACAATCCCAAAACTGTTACTACATAGGCCATAATGCAAGAACATTTTAAATGGAAAACAGCAAACTGGGTTTCTGTGGCCAGGGACTTCTGCTCAGTGAAGGAGACCTGGCTTCTGGAAGGCTGATGAGTGCCTATTCCCACCACCACCCCTTTTCCCTCTTGGTGACAGAACTGAGTTTGGTTCTGCTCATTTAAATCCACTGTGCTCCAAGTACACCCTACAGCAGTACTTGGGAAATTATGACAACTCCAAAAGAGTGTTGAATAAATTATTTTAAATTAGCTGCAGCAAATGTAACCCCCTATATGTTAATATGTCTTCATTTCCTTTGATTCGAAAAGCAATGACAAACCACGCTAATTTTTGTCTCTGTGTACAAGAATACATGGGCCAGCTGTAGCCAGTGCTCGCCTACAATGTGGAGGAATCAGGGCACATCCCACTTCTGTATTTTGGTATGAGAACCAGGGCATTCTCCCAGTGCAATCCACAATATAAAATATGGCCCCTGTACAGTTAACTCAACATTTGCAGCTTAAAAACCAAACGGATCAAAAGCACACATGACAACTGGCTGTCCCATCTCCCTGGCAACCCTCCCAGCCTCCTGGTTTTCCTTCCAATACTCACTTTTCAAAGTCTGGCCCACTTGTGCTATAAATGTGTTCCCCAACTTCAGTCTGTCCTCTACTGTCTTCATGACGCAATGCAGAAACATTTGCTCTTGTTTTAAATAATGAACAAGTCAGAAAGGCTGTTTCGTTTCTTACCAACCACCCCTGTGGTCCCATCTCCAATTTCTTCATCCTGGGATTTGGACAGTTCAACCATCAGCTTGGCAATCTGATGATCGACATCCATCATGCTTAGAATGGTGGCTCCATCGTTTGTCACAGTCACATCGCCGTCCTTATCAACCATCATCTTGTCCAGCCCTAAACAACAGAGTTCACAAAGAAGCTGAGCAAAACAAAGTGTACCCAGTACTGGGAACTATAGGGGCTGGACCTTCTCACTAGTTCCTACCACAAAATTTATTTGCAACAGGTAATCCAACACACATGAAATAAATATCCATCAGCTAACCCAAACTCTACATGGGAAAGTCTAAGTGTCTCAACCGGAGAAATGTGATCAACCACCACACACAGAGCACCATTAAAACCAGTGTTAACGTCAGACGCACAGACTCACTTGGGAACATCCTAATCAAGTGAGGAAGAGCCTGACACACAGCATCTTGGCTGTACTGAGTAAAGGACCATCTACTGCAATTCTAAAGAGGTACTGTGACTTCAAACCTTTAGTAAAACTATCAATGGTTCTTTCTCACCGTTTGGTCCCAGTGACGTCCGCATTGTGTTTGCTACAGCTTTGGCAGCCATGATATGAGACTAAATGGAACAGAAAAGCAAAGACCCAGTTACATGTCATTCCAACAGTTAAAGACACATAGCTCATATTTGTAGGAAAAAAAAAGACTTGGGATGTAATTTCTAAAATCTAAAAATGTCTACATCAGCAGGGAGGGATGACTAGAGCAGTAACACTCACAACTACAAGCTTTAGTGTCAAGCAAATTACATTTCTCAGCATGTGAAGGAGGTAAGCTGTCACCATTTTGAACTCTGAGAACACAAAATCCAACTAGAAACACACAGCACCTTCAGTTTACCAAGCAAGGCTCACTGTAGAAAATTACTGCACCACATTAACCTACACAGAAGTCACCCTTGTTAACATTTTTAGCAAACACTATTTTCAGAAGAAAAGTTTTGAAAGATGGCTAAGAGTTTAGTAACAGTGACCCTATCAGTTGTGGAACCTGGAGACTGCTCTCTTTTAAACTGTTCTAAAACGTATCTAGAGCTTGTCAGAAATCCTAGTAACAATGACAGTTCAAAATTAGTTCTGAGAGATGGTAGAGTAAGGACTGGAATTGCAGCTCACTGATAGTGACTGCCTAGCACGCACAGGTCAGGTCAATGGTCGAGAGCATCTGCGGTTCTGGAAGATACAGGTTCGGTTTCCAGCACCCACAAAGAAGCTTTCAGGGCCTATACTCCAGTTCCAGGGGACTAAAGAACCCCCTCCAGATCAATAAGAACACACACACACCTCATTATCATGCAACCTGACCTCATGTTTAAAAATAGCAAAGGTTTATGTATGACATTATTTAGAAGTAGTGTTCTTTATGACTTACTCTTAGTAAAGGCTTGATGCTTACCTTATCTTTATTTACGTCTAGGCCCTGTGTCGTGTAAAACTTCACACGAGAAAAGTGTGACCTTTACCAATAAGTATTATGGTCATGTGACTGTCCCACTGCACACATCTGGTTACAACACTATTACCACTGTCTTAACTTTTGTCATCTTGGCTCCCTCGGTCCCAGAAGCTCTATGAGATTGGGGCCAACTACATATCCCTGAACAGATCGGAGAGGCTGATCCAGACAGAGCATTTGACACTTAACAGTACTCATGCCCTGCTCCGGGGTAGTCACCCACAGCACACTGCTCAGGCTCATTAGTGTTCATGACATCCTTGTGAACCACCCCCCACTGACCTCACTCAATACTAAGACAGTGATGGCCCAGGCCTGAAAGGACCTTCCCTGCTCCTACGAGTACCTGGCTCACTTCCTTCAATGCATGCTCTTTTGCCATCACCATCTTAACTCAGGGCAGAACCATCCTGTGGATTCCAAAACCAGATGCTTTCCACTTCCTAGCCACTCCTTTCCTTGTTTTCTAGTGACTCTAGCAATTCTAAAGGTTCAAAGCCACTCTTGTGCCTTAATACCCAACAACAGCCTTTTCTGTGGAGTACTCCAGGCTCTCCCCGAATCAACATGATCTCTGATCGTTTCTCCACCTTCTCACCCCCAAGATGCAGATGAGTAAACTTCTGTAAGCACAGAAATACTGGGGGTTTCAGAGCTGTGCACGTACACATGCATTAACTTCTCTTGCCACCAAGACAGGGTACAAAGCAAGTTCATTTGGTCTTTGTAAACTCTGGTGCTCTTAAAATGTAACCTGAAGGTATGTATTCACAATGGAGTTTCTCAATAGCCATCTCTTGGGGTGCCCAAAGATACTGGACACCCAGACTTATTTTTGGTTGGCTAAACTGGTATGTACGAGCAGAAGCCAAAGAAACAGCCCAACACTATATACAGAACAGGCCTCCAAGCACAGATGCTCTGGTCCGAACGCCAAGCCTAACCTCACTGCTCTGGACTGCTAGCTCTGACTCAGTTGGAGTGGGAAGAAGTCATTGCTCTTACCTAGTGTAGCTGTGAAGTCTTTGGCACTTTCTCTATGACCCTGTCCCTAAAGTTCCTAATTCTGTAAAGAGGACCCATCCCAAGTGAGGACCACACACAATAGTCCATGTAGTTAACACAACTGTTCACATGAATCACACTGGTAAATTTTCTGTCTGTTGGGATTTTACGTTATCTGCAAGTCCCCTAACATAGAAAAGAAGGTGGAACTGAATACATAATGTGCCTAAGCTAGAGAACCAAGCATTTACCATGCCTCAATTGCTATGTCCACTTCTTCAGTCACTTCAAAACACCTGTCAAGTCTTCGGTATGACAGAAAACCCACCAAGAAAACAGAGACGATGTGGAACTGGAGGTAGGAGATTTCCCTAACACCAGGTCAACAAGGGGACCTCAAACCTGGAGGCATGACTGGCACAGTACAACCTAAAACGGGGCTCCCTCCTTTCTCTGCGCTTTTTGTGGCAACACCAGTGAATGTTATTCTTTTCTTACCTGGGATCTAGCACTGGGTCTTGCTTGGCCTTTCTTTCCCTTTAAAAGATTTATTTATTTTTTATGTATATGAGTACACAGCAGCTGTCTGCAGACACACACCTGAGGAGGGCATCAGATGCCCATTACAGATGGTTGTGAGCCACCACGTGGTTGCTGGGATTTGAACTCGGGACCCCTGGAAGAGCAGTCAGTGCTCTTAACCACTGAGACATCTCTCCAGCCCTACTTGGTCTTTCTTATTCCTTTCCTTATGTGAGGCATTCCTTCCTACTTAACGCTTCGGCTCTGCATTCCCTCAGGCTAACTCGCTTGTTCTCCTTTTGGGAAGTATCCTAATTTACCCACAGTGTCTCCTTCCAGTCCTAAAATAACCACGCGTTTTCTGGCCTAAGGGAATTTACGGTCCCCCTGGATACACTGCTCTGGACCTGTAGCCATTCGTTCTGTCTTGGGCACGTTTTTCACTAATTTTCTTCCTTTATGGGACAGCACAGTGTCTACGGGACAAGCTATTTACAAATGCACCGGCGCAGGCCTGCTCCCCAGGTGAGCCGAGGGATGCGACCGCACCCAGCTCGGAAGCGGCGGACCGCTTTCCCTAGCCCACCCTGGGACTAAGGCCTCTCCTGCACCCAGAGTCGGGGTGCGAACCTAGAACCCAAAGGGTCTCCCCGGGACCGGAGATTCTCGACCTTTCGGGCCAGCACATGGCCGACCTGCTCCCATGCTAGCGCAGGCGCAGAAGCGCTCCCGGCCGCCTCCCTTCATCCCGCTGCCTCGCGTTCCGGGCCGTTACCTTGAGGGCCTCAAGCCCCATGAGACGGGACTTGCGATCTTGGTCCTTGATAATGAGAAAGGGGCGCCCATACTCATCGAAGGCCAGGGTCCCCACGGACGCCATGGTGGACGAACTGGAACAAGCGCTCTCCGATAACCGGCGGGGGACGCCTCGGGAAGAGAGACGGCTCCTCCCTCTCGCGAGAAGACGCAAAATCCCGCGCGTGCGCAGTGCAGGCCGCACGAGATTTACTTTTCAAGAGTGACTTTTTTTGCGCCGCCGAGTACCTTCTGGAATCCGCCGCTATTGGAGACGTCTTATCTTCTGTGAGCCGAGGGGGTGTTCCAAACTTAGAAGGCTATGTCTAGGACACAAATGCTAATGCTAGGCATAATTCAGTCACTGATTCAAGGATTTGAGTTTTGAAAATTTTCCAATGCAGAGTTGCAGCGAGGAGGTAATTTCTTTAAGACATTTTTTCCCCCCTTTGTGGTCAGCCCGTCACTGAGACGTTGGGTAGATTCCGCTTCCGGTCTACCCGGAAGTTTCGCGTGATGGAGCGAGTAGGTGAGATTTCACCCGCATGGCGGCGGGCGCTTCAGTTGTCTGTGGCGAGGGCGCGTGTGGGGATCGGGCGCGCGTGGCTGCCGTGCTCTCCGCTCCGCGCCGGTCGGTGTCTTTTTGGCTGAGTCGTGGCTACCACGGTGCTTGCTGGAGGCTGCTGTCCGCACCTCCGTGCACATGATCCTAGGACTGCTGGAGTCCGCCCTGTCATGGACTAGCTGCTGCTTTAAGTTATTGAGCCCTCGGCTTTGTATTCTTGTCTGCAAAGATAGCAATAATAATAATAATAATAATAATAATAATAATACCACCTACTCTACAAGGTTGCTGAACGTAGCCTGGTCACCACGCAGTATTAGTAGCACGGCCTGGTTTCTTGCCCCCAGCGTTTTGCTGTTAGAAAGATAATTAATTGCACCGTATGTCTGCCAGACATCACGATTCATTTTATAAGCTTGGACTTACTTGTTACGAATTTCCACACTCTCCACCCCGTACCCCACAGAACGGGAACTGTCCCTGCAGTATTGTCGGTTTTTATTAGGTACTCAAAATTAGAATGCATGTAACAGCACAGACCTGAAAGCTAGCCTACTGTCTGTCATACAGGTGATGGTTTGTTAATCTTGCCTAATGGCTAGCTCTTTGTCTCTTAGACTCAGTGATGCTGTGTTGGGCTTTGAAAAATTCAGACGGTAGATTCTGCAATCCGTTTTGTTTATTTATTTGAGAAGAATAGGAAATCTCTTGATGGTGTCCTCTGCATCTTATTTTTTGTCTGAATGCTGTCTAGGATAACTCCTAGTATCTAAAGTGGACATGTGTTGAAAGGACACAGATTGACATTATGTCAGGACAAGGTTTTTAAAGTTAGCATAAACAAGGTTTCATTATGACATTTCGTGTGTGTGTGTGTGTGTGTATACACACACATATATATGCATATATATGTACATATATATGTCATTGTACCTTGCCATGACATCTAAGTAACTGTCCCCATTATCCTCTCTCCTCCCACTCTTCCCACACAACCAACACAACACACACTCGAATACAAGCATTCTTCTACATCTGAGAGAAAACATGATAGTTCTGAGTCTAAAGCAGAATAAAGTCCTATTGTGTACATATATACCACACTGTATCCATTCCTCTGTTGGTGGACATCAAGTTGGGTTCAAGGAAGACTTCAAGGATGGCACAGCAAGTAGAGGCACTTGTTGCCAGGCCTGGCCACTCGTGCTTAGACTGCGGGTCCCACGTGGTGAAGGAGCGAGCAGGTCCCACTTGAATCACAGACTGCCTTCCGGCTAGGACTCTGTCCTCCTTCTCTGTCCTCCTCCGTGCCCTGGCCCAGTGACTTGATGCTTTTGCCCCCAGTTGAGATTCTTAGTTTGCTTCCTTTCCTCTGTATCTCTTCAGATGCTTGCACATAGTCTGACACTTCTTTGCCTGAGTTGGTTCCTACAACTCCAAGGCCAGCTGGGAGACCCTGGAGAGCAGGGCGTCACTACTGCCTATTGACTGATGAGGCTTTCTGGGATGGTACATGTGTGTACAGGGGAGGCAGAACTTGGGCCATCTGACACGTGTTTAACTGTCATCGCTCAAATTGATACAGTGTGATCTGTCTATGATGGAAATGGTTCTGATTTAAATAATTATACTTATGTTCAGCTGTTATAATGAATCAGGTACTGATTTGGAGCAGCGTGGATAAATCTAGAAGATACCACTTTAAATGTAGTAAGTTGGTGAGACCACGCACACACACACATACAGATTTATGTATATATTTGCATGGTCGTGTGTGTCTGTGTGTGTGTGTGTGTGTGTGTGTGTGTGTGCAGGAGTTCCGTATGTGTACCCATGTAGGCCACAGTTTGACATGGGTATTTCTGTTGTGCTCCACTCACCGACCTTGCCTGTTTTTGCTAGGCTGGCTCGACAGCCAGCTGCTGGGATCTGTCTGTCTTCACCTTCCAGTGCTGTGGTTGTGCCTGGCTTTCTCATGGGTGCTGGGAATCTGAACTCAGGTCATCATGCTTGAACAGCAAGCACCTTTACCCACTGAGCCAGCTCCCTGGCCCTTGCAAGCTAGTTGATATAAGTCACCTTTGAAGACACTTACGTGTAAGTCCACAGTTGAGGAAACAGACTATCAGTAGTGGTTACTTAGGGCGGATGGCAGAGGGTGGATGGGGAGTGACAGCTGAAAGGTACAAGGGTTCTTGGGCAATAAAAATCTTCTATAATTGACTGATGAGACTTATACATACCTATACTAAAACCCGGTGAATTGTACACATTAAATGGACAAAGTGTATTTTTGTTAATTCTGTCCTAGTAAAGCCTAAAAACTGGGTTTCTAAGCTGAAGCTTTCTTTGTTCAGACGATTAAAAAGGGAAGTTTTATGATTAAAACATGCAGTAATGGATACTGAGATAACGTATTACTAGAGTCCTAGACACACTAAATCAATACATTGGAAAGAAGATTTTAATCTTTAGTATTGAAGAACTTTCCCAAATCACTTTAACTTTGCCAGTAGGATTTTAGAAGTCATTGTAGAATTTTATACAGTATCCAGTGAACTTGTCCTTTAAAAGGGATTAGTGGGGCTGGAGAGGTTGCTCAGGGGTTACGAGTACTTGCTGCTTTTACAGAGGACCCAAGGTTGGTTCCCATCACCCATGTCAGGTACTCACAGCCCTGAAACTCCAGCTCCAGAGAATCCGATGACACTCTCTTCTGGCCTCTGTGGGAAGACCTCCCCTCACACACACACACATATGCACACACACAGAGACAAAAAGCACGAGTCAGTGTCAAAAGAGTTGTTGAGAAGATGTAGCCATGGTTTTCTAGTGTATCCTCCATGTGTTTCTGCTTTCTCTCATTGATGGCTCAAACCTAGAAATGCCTGAGGAAGAAAGGCAGTCGGGCCATGTTCTTCCTACAAGTCTGGAACCTGACAGTTTGAAGAAGAGCTATTGGGGATTCTTGGCTACTGGGGTCGTTGGTGGTGCACTGGTGACTCTGTATGCTGTGGCTACACCATTTATCACTCCGGCCCTCCGGAAAGTTTGTTTGCCGTTTGTGCCTGCAACTTCGAAGCAGATTGAAAATGTTGTCAAGATGTTGCGACATAGAAGAGGACCCCTGGTGGACATTGGCAGTGGCGATGGACGGATTGTGAGTTATCCTAAAACAGTTTAGGGTTTGGAACCAGAATTGTTAAAATTTCTGCTTCATTTTTCTTATGAGGCTTATACAAAGATTTGCCAAATTTGACAGTTTGAAAAGTGTGTGTTTTACTTTGTGTTTGGCAAAACTGTTGTACCATCAGCATGTGTTCAGAGTTCATTTTTCTGTGATTGATTTTTTTCCCCCCTGGAGGAAAAGAACTCTGTAAACATGCCAAATAGAAAGGAGCAGTTAATTGCCAATTATAAAATAGTCTATTAGAATTTTTGGGTCAGTAAAGGCGGCATGATCACAAGAGGCATGCCGCATCCTGGAGTTTAATCGTCTTTACTCTTGCAGCTTGGATGCTTGCTTTGTGCTTCTCTGTATGGATACGTGGGTAAGGAGTGGTTCCTAGGAGTGGACAGAGAGTTAACTAAGAACAGCTCTGCTTCACTTCGGGCGAGTGCTTCACATGGTGAAGCCCTGCCTGACTAAAGCTAGGAATTCAACATGGGCATAACTGCTTGGAGTTGTGGTCCCAGGACTTGGGAGGTGGAGGCAGGAGGATTATGATTTCAAGGCTAGCCTCTTCTATATACAGAATTCAGGCTATATGAGGCCTTGTCTAAAAAGAAATTCAGAATTTTAGTGGCTTCAATATATTATGATTCCAGCCTGACTCTCTTGAGTAAAGAAAAGGTCACTGACCGGCAGGTGAGTGGTCCTCAGAAGCAGGGTGAGGCAGATGACCACATCCTGATGAGCAGGAGTAGAGGCAGTGGGCAGAGGCTGGGTTCTGGCTGGCAACATGTGTGTACAGACCGGCCAGACTGCACCACCCTCACTAGTCCTGTGGACCCTGGCTTTGTGGTGGAGACCTGAAATCATGACAGAGACACTGGAAAGGCTCTCTGTGTAGCTTCAAAAACACGTCTTATACTGTAGCAGAATATTATGAACTGTAACATTTACTACCTTAGCCATTTTTACTTCTGTGATACTAAATAATTCCCATGGTTCAGTTGTCCATCACTGGGACACTTTCATCTGTCCAGAAGGCTGACTGGCTTTGTCTTGTGCAGACAGCCACAGCTGCTGAGGGCTCAGGAGGCTGTGGTCCTAGGGAGGTTATTTTTATTGCTTATTATCTGTTGTTTACTTCGATTTTCCCCTCTGCCCTGCCAGCAGCAGTTGCAGAGATGTGCAGATCTTCATCCATAGTGTGTTGCCACCTAGGGTTAGCTGAGCCAGAATCAGGGATACATTTGTCCAACACAACCCTGAGTGTCTCTCTCCTGATAACTCAAGGTAAATCTTTGAGAAAATGGAGAAAACTTTAGGTTGGCCATTGTCTTGTTAAGATATAGCATTTTTTACATGTTGTTGTCATCAAAGGGGGCAGTAGCCATTTTAAAGCCTATATTATTTACATGGAATAATGAGTTTCATTGAGAGACTTGTCCGTGTATATCATGTTCTCTGGCCCTGTCGCTCCACCCTCTTCTTGTAGCTCCTGTCTTAGTTACTGTTCTATGGCTGTGATAAGACACTATGACCAAGGCAACTTATAGAAGAAGAGTTTTGGGGGGATACAGTTACAGAGGGCCATCATGGTGGGTAGCATGGCAGCAGGCAGGGTCCTGGAACAGTAGCTCACATCTCATTGACCTGCAGAAGGCAGAGAGGGAGGTAACTGGGAGTGGCATGGGCTTTTGAAACCTCAAAGCCTGCCTCCAGTGATACACCTCCTTGAATAAGGCCTCTCTTGCTAATCCTTTCTAAAGACCTTTCACTAACTGGGGACCAAGTGTTCAACTATGGCCTATGGGGCCATTCTCGTTAAATCTACCACATTTCTCCTCTCCCTGATCCCTTCCTATTTTCAGTAGACCTCAAGAAGTATTTTTTACTAGGATGGCTTAGGTTATAAACCATAGATAGGGAACGCTCATACAAGGTGACTTCTTTCTTTGCTAACCCCTTGCCTCTGTCAGGTGATTGCAGCTGCAAAGGAAGGCTTCCGAGCTGTGGGGTATGAGCTGAATCCGTGGCTGGTTTGGTACTCCAGATACCGTGCCTGGAGGGAAGGCGTGCAGGGCTCGGCCAAGTTCTACATTTCAGATCTATGGAAGGTACGCAGCGGTTCTGGGGGATGGAGCTTCAGAGGCTAATAGATGTATTCATTTATAGTTAGTATGACTGACAGAGTGTGTCAAGAGAAAACACAGTCCAAGTGAGTATTTTGGCATAACAAAATGTATACACACTTTAAACTGATAGATCTTACAAATAAGCTGTCCTTTAGTGTTGAAGCTTCAGGTTTTGATAAAAGTCATATGAATGCTATGAATTTATTGACCAAATTAAAGAATTTTCATTTTTTCTTATGAAATAATGAAATATTTCATTTCACTTGGAAAGCATAGTTATTCTTGATAAATATTTGGCTTTTCTGTGTGTGTTTGCATGCTAAGAGACAGACAAAGATGGAAGATAGAGTGAAGTGTTTATGAAATATGCTATAGTAGCTCCTTCCTATCCTCAGAAATAGAAGTATTTTCTAAATATATTTGTATCTTCTGTTTTCCACAGTATTTTTATTATTTGGGAATTTCACATCATGCAACCAGTCACACTCACCTCCCTGTCCTCCAGGTCTGACCTCCCCTTTTGTAACTTACCCCCAACCCCCCCCCCCAAAAAAAAAAAAAAAGAAATAAAAGTCCCATCAGCCCAATTTGTGTTGCCTGTATATTCACAGGTGCATGGTCAAACCACCAGTGGATGGCCTCTTTAAAACATCAGAGTCTTTTCCCACGTCCACCAGAACCTGTCAGTCATGGAGAGCTACACTTCAGTATCTTATGTCTGTACTCATAAGTAAACCACAGACTGCATTGTGTTAGGAAAGCTGTACAAAGTGCTTTCTCTTAAATAGGAGTTTGCACTTGTACCGTGTCCTCGGCAGCCATGAGGACGCGCTTGGACGTTGTTCGTATTGTTTTCAGGCTCTGTATAACTGAGCGGCCTCCATAGAGTAAATAGGACTTTATTGGGCAGTAAGAGTTTTGGCTGAAAGCACTTTTAACCGTCTTTCAACTGCTGTAAAAACCATTTGATTGTACTTTGAACAAACTGTTTTAGGGAAGAGGAAGAGGAAGAGGACTAGAACTGTGAAGATGCCACAGTGTGAAACAGGTGGCTTTAGGTGTTTGACTAGTTCTGCCCTGAATGAGTCCCAGTGAGGACGGGGAGATGAGTCCCAGGATGCTTCAGGAAAGCCGATGCATTGGACTTGTGTGTGTCAGAGTGTGTGTGGTAGTGTATTCTTTCTGTAGTGTGTCTTTCGGCTGTTGTTTGGGGGACTGCAAGCTGGCCATCTGTCAGTGTGGGCTCCTGTGAGACAAGATGCATGACTTGAACTAACCCACCTGTGTTTCCATCTTGGTCAGGTCACCTTCGAACAGTACTCCAACGTCGTTATTTTTGGTGTGCCCCAGATGGTGAGTCTGCACCCCGTTCCCTGTGACCTGCTTGTTGCTGACACTACCAGCTGCATGCAGCACATCACCTCTCTAACACAGGCAGTGAGAGCTTCCTGGTGACTTTGAGGGAACATTGGATTTCAGTTCATTGGTTTAATGAAATACTTACAGATCTTCAAAGTTTAATCTTTAAGGATTCAGCCACATTTTAAAACTTTAGTTTCAGAGAAAAAAAAATCTCAATGATCTCCCAGAACCTTAACAATCGCAGTTTGAAAACTGCTTTATGAGGTTGCAGCAGCGAGTGTCGTTGGTGTTTTTCACGGCTGCTCACTCACAGAAGTTAATGGGATGTTCCCTTTGAATTGATCAGTCCTCCAGTTATGCTGGAAGATAATTTTAAGGGTGGATGAACATTGACTGGTTTCAATTTCCTCCAATTCGCAGATTTGCCAAAGAACTGAGTATTGGACTTTGATTAGGTACATTCAAAGTGAAAATACCACACTATTGTACTGAAAATGGGCCTCGCTAGCCTTTGCAGAGACATTCAGGGTAGGATGCTTTATGTCACTCCTGGCTTAGACACCAGAGATAGCAACCCCTTTTTACTTCTCAGAGTTGTAATTGTAGCCACAATAATCTCGGCAGAATTAGATGTTTGCTGAAATGGTGCTATATAACTGATATGGTTTTTAATTAAAAAAAGGAAATTTAGTTTTTGTTGTTTTATTTTGGTATTTATGCCTTAGACTTTTGCTGTTGCTTTTTGAGCTGGAGTCTCTGTGTGGCCTCACCTACTCCCTCTTGCAACAGTTCTCCTGCCCCCCATGTGTGGGGATTGAGAGTGTGTGCCGCCATGCCCAGCTATGCGGGCCTTTATAAATAGTGCTTAACTGCTTGAGAAATTTGTCCCCACCTTGGAACTTTCAGTGTAGTGGTGCAGTCTTGACTCTGTACAAACCAGCAATGACACTGTTACAAAAGTGGCTGTATTTGTGTGTCTGTTACGGTCCCCAAGAGTAACTGTTCTAAAAGTGAAGGCAGGTGTGAGGTCTTGGTCCCTGGTCATTTAAAACTTGCTTGGGTCAAGCCTGGGCTCACACCTGCAATCTCAGCACCAGGGAGGAGGGTTGTTGTGAGTTTGAGGCCAGCCTGGGTTGCAGACTGAGGTCCAGTCTCAGCTCCCACAGCCCACAGATAAACATGATTTGGGATCGTAGACTAGATAGGGGTTGTGACAGAGACTTACTACCTCCACTGCTCAGCCTTTCCTTCCGAGATGTACTACTCACTGGAGTGGATGTGCGGGAGAGGGGCGAGGCTGACACGTAGGCTCTGAAGCCTTGCTGCCTTGTCCCAGCTGGGGGCAGCAGTGGCCTTCGTGATGCTGGTGGAGGCTGCTCTGCTGCCGGAGTCAGGGCTGTTTCCTCAGGAGCAGCGTGAGTCTTGTTATTTTGAAAAATACATTTGTAATTATTGGTTATTCCCCTGCATACAGACGACTCTCAACCGAGTCATTTCAGCATTTCACCATTCCCAGGGAAAGAGAGGAGCAGTGGGAATTCACAGCATTCCTGTTCCTTCAAAAGGGATTCAGCCAGCCTGTGTTCTCCACATGGTGGGTTGGTGAGGGGCCCAGACGGCTCACTTGGCTTTTGTTGAGCTGGAAGGCTGAGTTTCATGTGTGGAACCCCCACTTTTAGCCCATATCAAACTTTACTCAAGTGGAAGTAATGAGGGGCAGGGGAGAGTGCTGGCTGGGAAGTTGGAGACCAGCTTTGCCCTCTCATAGTTGTGAGGCCCTGGGAAAGTGCTTATTGTCTGGGTAAGGATGCTGTTAAGTGTATCCCATTCTCTTGAGTGCTGCTTAGTACTCCTGTCATGGGCAGGTAGCCTCTAAACCTTACATGCCATGGAAGTGTCTCAGGGTATCTGTGCACTCACTGACGGACACTTGGAGAGTCGGGCGGATCTCAGGGTGTCTGTGCACTCACTGACGGACACTTGGAGAATCGGGCGGATCTCAGGGTGTCTGTGCACTCACTGACGGACACTTGGAGAGTCGGGCGGATCTCAGGGTATCTGTGCACTCACTGACGGACACTTGGAGAGGGGAGGTGAGAGGAGGACATCTGGCTTTGCAAATCCTCAGCCCTGCCTGTGATGCCAACTGGATTATTCCTAGTGGTGCAGTGCGTTTATAAGTGGAAATTAGTGCTAGCACTTGAGTGTGTAGCATGTGTCAGAGTAGGATAACTAGTACCATTTGGACCTGCTGAACACTTTGAAGCTTGCAAGTACCCACATTTAGCATAAGCTTATGGACCAAGAGGTTCTTTTCAAAATGCGGAGCAAGATGGTTGGACCTTTGTTTAAAACCCTCTGTGATGTTGGAGCTGTAGTTCAGGTGGTGGAGTATTTGCCTAGTGTCCATGAAGCCCTAGGTTTAGTCCCCAGTACTACAGAGAACAGATATGCTGACACATACCTGTAATTCCAGCAGGTGGGAGGTAGAGGCACAGGATTAGAAAGAAGTTCAAGGTATTCCTTGGCTACAGAGTGTGTTTGAGGTTAGGATGGATTACTTAAGACCTTCTCTCAAATACCCCCAAACCAAACCACCAAGCAAAACCCTCCGTGACTTCCTGCTGTCTTAGGGAAAAGTCTAAATCTGCTGAGGGACTCAGACTGGTGTGAAGTGGCCCCCACCCACTCGTGACCTTGTCTTAGCCAGTTTTCTGTTAGTTCTCTGCACAGTCGTTCATCTTGTCAGTCCCTGGACTTGGCTGTGCTTCTCTCCATTCTTGACCTCAGGCCTGCTCTTCACTGGGCCTAGTTAGTGAACACCTGCCCTTCCTCTGGGAAGCTGTTCATAGTGGTCTTTTTTCTTTTCTTTTTTTTTTTAAATAAATCTTTTATTTACTTATATGAGTACACTGTAGCTGACTTCAAACACACCAGAAGAGGGCATTGGATTCCATTACAGATGGCTGTGAGCCACCGTGTGGTTGCTGAGAATTGGACTCAGGACCTCTGGAAGAGCAGTAGTCAGTGCTCTTAACCGCTGAGCCGTCTCTCCAGCCCTGTAGTGGTCTCAATGCTCCCCGCTTTCTAATGTGCAGCTCCTTGCTCCTGTCCTTGAGTGAATATTGTGCACTGGGCTCTTCTGTGCCTGAAGGCTTTGCTCATGCAACGAGGATGACTGCTGTGTAAGAGACAGGGTCTCCCTATTGCTTGACTACATCAGGGAGTAACAAAATACAAATACCCTGAGGTACCTTGTCACCACTTTAGAGGCAGTAGGACCTGGGAGAATGGAGTCAACAAATGAGGTGAAGTAAGGTCTCATGCAGTGGCCACCTTTATCCAGAGCCCCAGTTTATACTCTAAGTGTTAAGAAGGTTCTCGTGAGCAAAGTTTTCATGAGTTCATGCTGTATGCAGTCACAAGGACAAGTTACATGTGGCAAAAACACATGAGGTCCATGTTCTGACAGCACCTCTACACTAGTGGAAAGATTATATGTTAAATGAGGCACCCATGTAGAATATGACATATACTAGAGGAGAAGAATGTTCTGAGGGGTTATTGGAAGCAGGGAAGGCGTGAGCCAAGTCACCATCCCAGGAAGGATACTGTCGATGAGTTGTCATCCAGACCGAGGACCTGCAGTGCTCCAGTGCTGAATAGTGAGTGGTTGGTTGGAGAGCAGCAAGTATGTACAGTGGATAAGGATGATGTAGACTTGAGATGAACCAGGGAACAGACCTGGTACATGAAGGATGCTGGTCCTACGGGAAGGAGCTGTCGAGGGTAAGCAGAGGGCATAGAGACTGGCTAGGTAGAAAAAGACCATCACAACTTCATGGAGGTCAGACCCGAGACATTAGAAATTGGGAGACACATTTTATGTTCTCTTTTGGGTGTCCAGGTGACAGACAGAGACTCAGTCTCGAGTGGGTTAGCGGGTGAGAAGATGTCAAATTCCAGCTGCTCTGCAAAGAGAAACTCAGCAGCAGTGGTGGGCATATCCAACGTTGGTGAGAGACAGAGGAGTCAAGGCCAAGTACTTCTTGTCTTCTGCTTCCTGGATGTTTGAGTCCCCAGGAGCTGAGCTGGGGGAGAGAGGTCCAGGAGGAGCCGTCTGTAGCAGCTCAGTATGGGCTCCTGGCATCACATTGGAAGTGTTGGGTAAGGAAGAGTCTAAAGCTCCGGTACAGAACCCTGCACAAGTCCAGTGGCAGGCAGACCTCAGGGAGGAGCCGCCACGGCCTGAGCTTTGTCTTGGAAGGGAGGCATATGCAAGTGAAGATCTCTTCAGGAGATCCTCCTGGTAAAGATGTCCTCACTCTTGCAGCCAAGTGGGAGAGGAAGGAGGCTGCCAGGCCTTGTGTCACATTGTAGCCAGAGGCCTGCCTTGTGCCTTTAGCTGAAGAATGATTAGAATATGATGACTGTGTGTCACTTTGAAACCCATAATTGTATGAATAATTTTGAATTCTGTTAGGCAGGCATAACACATCACTGCTTCTCTTTGTGTGTGATATCAGGACAGATTTGATGCATATTTATGTGTAATTTAGTCAGTTAATTTCTTACGATTGAAATAGCTTCTTTCATTTTTAGGTTTATCTTGACTTAGCATATGACAGTCACTCTGAAATAAAAGAAACTATAAAAGAGAAAAGAATAGTAATGTGAATATGTTTACAATTATCTTTTTATGAACAAAATTACCATAAGAAACCTGATATTTTGAAAAATGCATGTTGTCTCATTTTTGGTGTATTTAATTTTTCCCTCAAGGAATAGTTTCTTTTCTTAAATCTTTGCCAGCCACTAGAAGAATTGAAATCATCTCTCCTTAATGAGATTTATTCTCTTGTTATTAAAGTCTAATGATGCATTAGAATTTTCCTTATGCTGTTCATATCATGGGAGTTTTTCCAAGCCATTTTTATAACATGCTAGTCAAGAATAAAACCTTCATGAGAGCCCTGTTGGTTTTTTCTGTCTTGCTGTTGTACTTTTAGAGGGAGTAGTTTTTGCTTAGTTCTTCCTTTCTAAGTATCATTTTTCATTACAGGGATCCAGGAATCCTTGAGAATTGCTGATCTAGGGTTGCAGAAAGGAAGGTACAAAAGCTGGAACCAGTGTTTGAGCCAAAACATACGGAAGTACTCACAATACATAATGGTAGTGTTTCCAAAGGATGAGCAGCCGGATGCAAGAGCTGCTCCGTGGCCAGATTCGGGCAGTTTGAACATTAGTATAGGCAAGGCCAGCAGTGAATATGAGTCACTGGATGAGCCATTAGAACATGGACATTCCTATCTGCAGTAGATAGATGTTACAGGCTGGGACACAGAGGGACTCAGAAGGGAAAGCTCTTCCTTGCAGCGGAATACTAACTGTCCACCTAGAGACAGATGGAAGATTAACCTATTGTCACTGTGAGTCTTTATGGTAAATAAAGACTTTATGGTTCAGTCAGGATCCTCAGTGTATGCTACTTCTAGGGCAGAGGTGGCCTGTGAGTGAAGGTGCTTGCAGTGCTCTACAGCAGGTCACTGAGGGTAAAGGGACGACAGCAAGTACATTACGGACATACAAGATTCACCCTGATCTAGTGCCTGATGGAACCGTCAGGGCAGAAGGGCCTCCTGGGTTTCTGGAGCCTTGGTCGGTTCACAGGCTTGCAGCAAGGCCATTGCCAGAGACCCACATGCCATGCACTGAGACATCAGGAATAAACATCAGGGGAACCTGAGGGGAGGGTCGTTTGCTCCATTGTCATGGAAGACAAAGAAAGAAAGGAGCTGTTACAGGTCTGAAGAGACTGAAGTGGGTGTGTCTGAGTGGTAGAGCCCTCCCCGGACTGGACTGGCATGTACAAGACAGACAAAAGCAAACAACTACAAATAAAGTTAGGAAACCAGAAAACTCCTATGGCTAAGCAAGAGTCTTCCTCACTGCTGGCTCCTTCCTGGGTGCTGCAGGACGCCACTGAATTGTTATGGGGTTACTGTGGGTAGAATGACATGCTTCCTGAGGTGATCCTCACAGGGAGCGTGGAAGGGGCGGAAGTGTTGTGAGCAGCCTCTTCTCAGGAGGTGTAGAGGCAGAGTTCGGGGAGGAAGAGGGCCACCGTGAGCAATGACACAGCAGTAGAACTCTGCCCCAGGTGACTGCATGTGGGTGCTTTTTTACTTCCTGTAGCTTGTCCTCGATTTTACACTTCTCAGAATTCAGTTGAAAGTAGAAAGTGAAACAAACAATCTTAGAATACGAAGGTGTAAGTACATTTTTTACAAATATAGGTAATTTTAAATAGTTGCTAATTTGTTGATGTAATTAAAGTGTCAATACTTTCAGTAAATATTAAAAGCACTTTATTGATAGGTTGGGTGGTAAAATTAATATAAAGTTGATATAATCTATATTCAGAAATTCCCCGTTCCGGATATAGAGGTAGCTCTGCAGGAGGGGTGCCTAGCGTGTGTGAGGTCCTGGCTGCACTTTAGTAGAACTAACTACCCCTAAGGGAGGACATGCACCATCAGTATGTTATAAACATATTTTAAAATTATTTCTAATTGGTAGAATGTGTATCCTTTTTCATGGTCTGATTAAACAATATTTCACAGACTCTAAATGTTGATGCTGCAGTTATTCTAGGATAATGTCAGTTGTATGGTGTATCCCTCTTTAGAGATGTTAAAAGTGTAGAAAAATGTCTTACCCGATACATGCTATATTGGAGTGCTTAAGTAGGTAAGTCATTTAAAATAGTATTTTAATTGCCATATCATGATTTTTGTCAGAAAAGCAAGACTTTATGATACGTATCTGCTGAAATAGGTTATTTTATGATTGGTATGAGAAAATGTCCTTGTAACTGCTGGTAATGTGTCTTCTTGTGCTCATGGATTGCTTGATTAAGTGTTTGTACCTGAGATGATGTGTTTTGTTGTATTCTCAGGGCCTTTGAAGTACAGAGAGGCATTTCGAAGTCCTGTCTGTCAATGTCAGGGAACCTGATGGCTGTTACTGTCCACAGATGCCGCAGCTGGAGCGGAAGCTTGAGCGGGAACTTGACGATGGTGCTAGAGTGATTGCCTGTCGGTTCCCTTTCCCACACTGGACTCCAAACCACACGACTGGAGAGGGCATCGACACCGTGTGGGCATATGACATGGGTGCTTGTAGAGCACGGGGAGGACGGCCTGATCGTGAGGATCGGCCAGTAGAACTGTAGAGCGCGGGGAAGACGGCCTGATTGTGAGTGGATCAGCCAGTTGAACCTCGAGAACCTGTGGGTTTCCTCAAGCCAGAGACAGAGCAAGGTCCTCGACCTTCAATGCCGAGGAGCTCTCCATTCCTTCTTGAGAACTCGAACAGAGGCTCAGAGAAACATTGAAGGCTAAACTCTACTGCTTGGGGTTGGCTTTGAGTTTGCTGAGAAGGATGACCTTGAACTTCTGATCCTTCCACTTCTACCTCCCCAGGAAAATGTGCTCTTAGTGGAACGTTCTGGAGGCTTACTCCTTTGCATACCCTAGGGTGCATAGGACATAAGTAAGTGACAGTCTGGGGGTCAGAAGGTGTCATCTCAGCAGCATGGTTTAATGGCTCGGGTGAAGAGGACGGGGCACTTATGCAAACAGCTGCAGTTTCCTGTATGTTGTTCGTGACTGAGATTTAATCTCCTTTCTGTAGGTTGTAGCTAAATTAATTTTCTAAAAGATTCAGAGCGACATTTAGATGTTGTAATACTTACAAGGAATGTTTACCCTAAGGCGGGGGCTTACTCTGCTTTATTGATTGACTGTGTACATGTACAACTGTGTGTAAATGGACTATGTAACATGCGCATGTTTTAAGATTGGGGAAGTTGGAATAAACTGTACATGGCTCTGATAGGCAGTGTTGTATGTTTTACTGTCATTGTGTTACTACAATCTAAGTGGTACGATCTCAGATTTGATGAGGCTTTTGAGGACCGTCCTTGGCTCAGGGAGTAAGGTTTACCAGTGATGACTAAGCTCTGGTGTCGTCTGTGGAGCAGTTTGTGACGGTGAATAGTGAGTAAGCTTCAGAATCTGAGCAGAGCTCCTGATCCCTGCAGGAGGCCTTGGACAGTGACTTACTTACTGTCTCTGAGCCTTGGTGTCTGCCACCAGGACAGTGACACACTGGACACGGGTCTGGGGATCAGTTTTAAAACCTAGCCATGCAGTCTTTGGTCTTCCCACAGTATTTTACTTCAGACACTGTGGGGAAGATTTTGCAGGGAAATCACAGATTATTTCTGCCGATCACTTCTCTTATTTTATGAGAACAGCCATTTATTTGACATTTCTCACTTTTGAGAAAAGACTGATTCAGATAGAAGATAAGTTAAGGAAAACCTTTGAGTGTGAGTAGACAGGTTCCGTAGATCTGAGAAATGAATATTGAATGGCGGCCGCTCAGCTCATCCGCCCTTGTCAGAGAAAAGATGGAGCCCGGCTCCTACATCTGGGACCTAAATCCCACATGTCCTAATGGGATTTTAATGTTAAAAGATGGCTGAGTGTTTAGCTAAACTGATAGAAACAGAAACATTTGATATTTTCCTTGTAAGCGAGGACCAACCGGGGGACACATGCATCTATCTCCTCAGTCATTCATGACATGTGATGTCTGTTGAGGCTCTGCTGGTCCATGAGGAGAAGACACGCCTGTCTCCTGACCCCGGCACTTCGGGAGGATGTAGAAACAGATAACAATTATTAGTGTGTACAAGGACCTCTGAAGAGCTAGAACCTTTGTATGTTTGTAAGGAGCACATGGAAGTTTTGGGCATTAATCCTTTGTTGACTGCTGTTCCCCTTAGCTCTCCTGGCCTTGGGTTTTTCTGTGAAGCATCAGTTCTGTGTGAATGGGTGGTCTCAGTGGGAGCACAGACCTTGCTGTCTAACTCTTGCTCTCACCCCTTCCTCTAGCTATAGCTGTGACATTCCAGATGCACTGAGAGGGGCCAGCCCTGTTCCTTGCCACACATATGTGGTGAGGGGATGTAGGGTCCTTGGGACCTTGAATGTATTTCACAGATTTTTATATATGTTTCTAATGGGTTTGTAAAAGCATCAGACTGCAGTCATTTGTAAACTTACCTTTTTTCCCCTTTACTATGGTGAGAATTAACGGATGTTAGGTCCTGTGACTTCAGAGATCCATGGAAGTGTACTGCCCGGCTTCTTTGAGGTCGTGCACTATTCTTTAAGATGGTGCTTTGTTAAGTAAAGAGTGGGACAACGAATTTTGTACAGGGAGGGCGTCTCCTCTCTGGCTAGTTTGAATTTTTATCAGTTACTAGGTTAAGGATACTGATCAAGTTTGTTCATGAGAGCTACCATGTTAAATGTCAGAAATATGGTTCATTTCTAAACAGATTGGGCTCAGGGACCAGTGACAAGTTGTTAAAATTCAAAGCTAAAGAAGCTAAAAGCTCTTGGGAGAGCTCTTGCCAAGCATGTACAAGGCCCAGTGTCACCCCCATTCCTAAATGTTTTGGGCCAAGGGGTCCTTGCCAACGAGTGTGAGCTCCTCAGTGTGCTCCTCTGCCCCTGGGGTTAGGCTGTGCTGATTGGCTTTGGAGAGCAGTGAGGATCTTGGGGCGGCTGTAGACAAGGAGTCCAAGCCCAGTAAGAAATGGGCTCCATGAAGTTACCTGAAGAAGTCACCTAAGTTAGGCTCGCCCTGCATCAGAGCTCTTCCTGTAGACAGAAGGCAGCAGCTGGACGGCCACTTGATGGGGATGTTGCAGAAGCAATCTTTGCAGCATGTATGAGCCGCACGACAACCAGAGTGATGCTTTCCCCCCACTCTTCATAGGGCCTCCAGAATCATTTGAACAGACCTCTAAGGTCAATAGAAGGAGGCGTGCAATTCTGACAAAGACTCCCATGTCCACAAACGCAAGTTCTCAAGACCGTTTTTTACTAAAAGTTTTTTAAAACAGAGTGGTCACAATGTTGGGATGCTGATGAATGAGGTTAAATTATACCAGAGCGGCCACGACGTGAAGCCCAGGGGGCTGGGCTCTAACCTTTAGGGAAGTGCTTTACTACAGTGGACAAAAGCTCACTGAAAAAACACCTTTTACATTAGCGTGTGTGTGCACATGAGCGCACGCACCAGGGGGAGTCGGAGTTACATCACACACACACACACACACACACACACATGGAGGTCGGGACAACTTGCAGGAGTCGGTTCTCTCCTACCATGTGGATTGGAGCGATCAAATGCAGTCGTCAGGCTTGGCGACAAGGGCCCTGACTCACTGAATCTTCTGCTGGCCCAGAGACACAGCTCTGAATCTGCTTGTCAGTATAGTTCATTAATGGTTCCTTATCCTCCCTTAAGGGACAATGTCCACGCCCAACCTTGTCAAGAGAGCAACCGTAGAGAGACCACGCATCCTTCCAAACTTCAGTCGACTGGGACAGGACTGGGTATCTGCATTTGTGCATACTGCTGGCTGGTGGACTGTTTGCTGGCAGAAAGGGGCAAGGAGCTACTTAGACTCCATGTTAGATTAGGGAACGTGAAGATGGGACACAGACATCAGAGTTAAGGGCTAGAGGCCAAGATTAGAGGAAATTCAGGGCTCACTGGAAGGACAAGTCAACAGACTTCTGAGCATGTCTTGGTCCCAAGTGGGAGGGGCCAGCCCACAGGACCAGAAGCCCTTGGGAACAGAACCCAGTCTGCCCTTACTGATCAGGACTAAGTGAACTGTTCTTGGAAGGACTCCATTTAGAAAATAGGTAATTTTTAGGACCAATGAAAATAGCGCTTGCCCAAGCAGGTATTAAGCACAGGGAACTTATTATCCCTAAAGACAGTGCGGACCATACACTTTAATAGGAAGGGGGATATTTGTATAAAGGAAAGGGCAGCGGCATCTAAATAACACAATAATGTCTCTCAGCTTAGAAACCTCGAGTGATTGGAGAGTCCTCTTAGGCAGGACACCTTCCTTTAGATTGAAGTGCTCTGTAATAATGACACATTATGAGTCTCCTGGAAGCGGCACACTTGTGACTCAATGAACTGATGCAAATTGAACATGAACAAAAGGACCATATAACTTTTATAGGCGGGGAAATTAGATGTCTTATTTTTCTAATTTAATATTATGGCGCGAACATTATCCAGGAAGGATTGATCAAACAATGGCTCATTGATCTCCGGGTTTAATCCAAGGGTGGAAGGGAGACGTTGAGTTAGTTTTCTTCTCTGTCATATTGCAGGATGGAAAAAAAGCAGCAGGTCCAAGTTGTTATGAAAACCCAAGCTCCAGAATAGTCTCAGAAAACTGCACATATCTCTGCAACTGTGCTGGACACATTAGGTAGTGGGGTCTTGTAGGGTTTGCTTTAAATTCAGCTTGGCAGTGTGTGTTCATGTGTGTGTGCATGTGTGTACACGTATGTGTGTGTATGTGTGTGATATGACAGTTAACCGAACGACAATGTGGCAGAAGGCATTAGACTAAATCTCTGTAAGTAGCAGTTGGCAAAATCACAAGGCAGGCATAGCTTCTAGCTGGTTTGTCATCTCGCCTCTGTCCTCCACCTACGCCCGGTCCCTAGTGTGCCATAGATCATTTTATCACATGGCCTTTTGTTCACATATCCACTTAAGTGTTAGATTACTTAATGCTATCTTCAAAGGTGTTTGCATTTTGTCAAAAAATCTCTTTAGCATAGATTTGATCTTGGTAAGACTGAACAAAGTGAATTTTGTAATGGAGGAGTGTCACGTTCTTCTGCAATCCCCGCTTACCACACTGCATCCCATGGCAGCCTAGAAAGGCAAAGAAGGTCCATATGATGTTTCCCTTCCCGAACATGTTAGTGAGAAATCTGTAGCTGGGAAACTGATGCCTGCTGTCATGTGTTAACTGTCCACCACAGGCCTTACACGCAGGGGGATTTCACAGATGCGATGGTACACAGCTGTAATTCCATACTTGGGAGATAAGAGGTAGAAAGTCAGGAGTTGAAGGTCACATTCAGCTACAGAGTAAATTCAAGGGCAGCCTACGTTATTACATGAGACCTTGTTTCAGAAATATGGGGAAAGAATTATGTGAATTCTGCAGTGTAGGCAGGGCATTTCTCTTTTGGATAAACTAAGTCATGCAGTCAGTGACAAATTTGACAAGGCACATGCAGTACTTAATCTCTTAATCCTGACAGTAAAGACACACACGTTTCCTTATTTGCACTTCTTGGCCAGGCCACGGGGGAGGCGCTGCTGTTATGAGCGAATCCCTTTGACTGCATGAGCTCAGATGGTGACAGCGTCTGAGCAGCTCCGAAGCTGGGGTTCAAAGCCTCTGTGAATCAGGCTTCTCCTTGGTAGGCTAAGGGTGGTCCGTGATGGAAGGCCTATGCCTGAAGGATAAGGCTGCAGAACTAAGAGATTCCTTCTCCCCACTTTATATATATAAGGTTAGCGAAGCAGAATCTTCTAAGAACAGAACCGCTTTATAGTTTTCCCTTGCTCTCGGACACGCTGGTGCAAACACATCACACATATTAGAAAATCAGCACCGTACGCATGAGTCTCTACGAGCTGGAGCTGCCATGGTGATATATACAGACTGGGGGTTAGACCACAGAGACGGACTCCTCACCTCTGGAGGCTGGAGTCCAAAGTCCAAGTACCAACAGGGTTCTCTCCTTGGCTCTGGATAGTTACCTTCTTGTTGGGTCCTCACCCTAGTCTGCTCTCCTAAGGAAGCCAGACATTGGATTCCATTAGATTGGATTAGGATTCACTCTAAGAACCCCGTTTAAGTTTACTCATCTGTGTGTGTGTGTGTGTGTGTGTGTGTCTGGGATATGTGCATGTCGGAGGTTTGCATG